GGTCCCGGGCCTGGGGGCGGCGCTGGCCCTGCTGGTATTGCTACTGCCCGCCGGCTGCCCGGTGCGCGCGCAGAACGACACCGAGCCCATCGTGCTAGAGGGCAAGTGCCTGGTGGTGTGCGACTCGAGTCCATCGGCCGATGGCGCCGTCACCTCCTCATTGGGCATCTCCGTGCGCTCGGGCAGCGCCAAGGTGGCCTTCTCCGCCACGCGCAGCACCAACCACGAACCCTCTGAGATGAGCAACCGCACCATGACCATCTATTTCGACCAGGTCAGCAGCTCGCGGCCGGAGTTGAGCGTCGCAGTCGCCCCTTTGACTCCCGCCCTTCTATGCGCATTCCTGCTTTGTGAGGCCTTTTCACTTCTTCCTCCCTCCCTCATTGTGCACCCTGACCACTGGTGAACTCTTAGCTCAATTGGCACCTGACCTAGAGTCTATCGGAGCTGCCCGAACCACTGCAAAGATATTTCCTAAAAGGGAACGTTGCACTTTTTGCTTTTCGCTCTTGGGGAAAGAAAAAACACAACTGTTGGTATTTTAGGCGGATGGCATTCGGTTACCCAAGTGGAGAATGTAAAGAAGCAAGGCACTGCAAACTCTTCTAGACTCAGAAAGGGGTTTGTCCCAGGGCTTTCAAACCATTGATTCCGAGCCGACCCCCTGATGTGAATTTGCATTTCCACCCCAGATACACTGGCCCAGAATCTACATTTTAATAAGCATACGGATCACCTGGGGAATCTGTAATCTGCACTTGGGAGTCTATAAGAAAAACCTGAGGATCTATACGTTTCACCTTGCTGCCTTTTAAACTGCAGATTCTGGTTCAGTATCTGGGGTGGAAATGCAAACTCACGTCAGGGGTCCATCCGGAATGAATGGGTTGGAAGCCCTAGGTTTCCAAAAGGTCTCAGCCAACAGCAGGAACTGTCCACCTGCTGTTCCTACAGAGGCATGGCCTGGGGTGGGCCCGTGTATGTTCCAGAAGAATGAGTGGGGACGCAGCAGGCAAGGAGTCAATTTGTGCTAGGGGTATACAAGCAAAATCAATGCCAGTCCTAAGTCACTTCCTTTCTCCCCATATGGTTCAAAGGAGACCAGAGGAGGGTCTTTGTGGCCCCATCTCTGAGTCATAGGCTGTCACCTTCCGTTGAGTCTAACCTGTACCTTCCTCATTTTCCCACAATGAATTGAAAACATTGCAGTGGTTTCCAAACTATAATGTATCAGCCCCTCCCTTTTGCCTAAGTGTTTCCCATAAAATAGAATTCTCCTGAGTCCCTGGCAACAGAGATTGTACCCACCCAACTTGTGACTTCCCCAGAGTTTCCTAGTTCCATATGCTCCTTCCTTCTAATACTTGTTAAGGTTCATGTATTTGAGTTTTTCGCTTCTTTTTCTTTCCATTTGGTCTCTGTTTAATTGGACACAAAAATATTGGCTTTAGCTGTGTCCAAATGAGGGAGACAACAGTGAAATGGGCATGTGGGAACTCTCGATTCCTAAGTTCTGCATTATGTATCTTTTCAATTATTATGACTGTTGTGTTTCTTAGTAGTTGTCTAGCTGTGCCTTAGCCTCTGTCTTCAGACTCAACCCAAATATCATTAGGTGTCAAGACAACCATGGGCTTCTGGGCAGGATAAGGAGGAGGAGGACTCACATTTTATAGCTGAGTCCACTCTGACAAGGCAGGTGACATCATTCTCAAGTCTCCTAGTTATGTACCAAGGGGCTTTAAAACATTCATGGAAAATGGAATTAAAAGATCGTAGAATGTTTTTCAGGAACTTTTTGAAGTCTATCTGGACCTGGGTGGGTTGTTTTTTTGTTTTTTTTCTGTCTACAGAAGTGCCCTGAATTGCCTAGTTTCCCGCATTTTCAGTTGAGGAGTTGACGTGAGAAAGGGGGGCAGCTCTAAAGGTAGGGCATAAAGGGAGAATTCTTTATTCTCCTCTGAAGGCTTGCATGACAGATTGAGCAAAGCTCCTTCTTGGGACTGTACAGAGAAGCGGCTTCCTGATGGGCTTTGTCCCTAACAATAGAGTGGAGGGTCTGTGTGAATCTGCGGGTGACTAGCACTGAAGTGGTCTCAGGCTGGGCTGAAAAAGTCCTTGTTTTCTAAGCTCTGGAACAACTGTTACTGGCTGCCCTTTACATTGCTTTGAGGAATTGCATGTTATGTATCTATTCATTATATAATGAGCATGCAAGACAAAAATCACAGAAGGTATTCAGTTGATGTGTATTTTCTGATGGAATGAACAGGTCTCTAGTCTGGTGTTCTGACAATGTTGCTGGTGGGTTTGGAAACCGAGGACAGCAGGTGGGCCACTTTCTGATTTTAATCAAATTGTGAATTTGTATGTAAGTAGGAGTGAGCACCTGATTCAGTGTGACCATCTGAAGGGAATTGCATCCTACTGGGAACTCTGCCTTCCTTTTTTTGAGGAAAACCATTGGCAGGGTCATGTAATGAAGTATCTGGTAGCTCATCTTGTCCCACTTCTCAGATGTGGTAGGATCCTTGAGTTTGAGCTGAGGGTGTCCATGCTCCAGAGTCTATCCACCCTCTGCCTGCCAACCAGGAAAAGGAGTCCACTGCTCAGGGGGAAATGAGGCAAATGGGACAGCTGGTGTTTTAAGACCCAGGTCTCTCACGCAGCCTCCGTGATTTAGTGCTGTAATTGTGTGCAGCCAGAGTGTATGGCAACCATAGGGAAATGATGGAGGTAAAAATCCAATGCAATCCTTCCCTCCTGGAGCCTCCAGCTTTAGGCCCCAGCTGGATCATGTTTAACGTACCTCATTTCATTCATTTCTAACCCTGTCACTCTTTCTCTCCCTATTCAATATAAAATTCTAGTTTCGCTCAACAAAGCTGCACGTTCAACTCCCTACAGTCCCACAGAGCTCCTCACCAGACTCAGCCAATCCAAGTCTCACTGTTCCTTTTCTCTGCTCCTGCCCACAGCATACAGCACACTCATCCTCTGTTAAATGCATACAAGACCATTTACCTAAGGACTAAACAATTTCTTTATTAACAATCTTTTGAATGCCTTTGAAGTCAACTCCTCCTGTGGGATATTATAAGCCAGCCCTGCTTCCTTCCCGGGCAAGCCTTGGAGCGCTTGCTGGCATTCCCTACACTGTGTATAGCCAATGGGAGAACTGACGTTGGTATTTCCATGTACCCTTGAAACATACCCAAAGCAGACTTGCAGTGTTCTTGCTTCATTTCCTCTTTCTTTCTGCAGGTCTTAGTAAACATTGGCAACCATTTTGATCTTGCCTCCAGCATATTTGTAGCACCAAGAAAAGGAATCTATAGTTTCAGCTTCCATGTGGTGAAAGTCTATAACAGACAGACCATCCAGGTGGGTAGCACTGCCCGCCACTGGGCTCTTGCCAGTTTGCGTAAGTGTTTCTCCATTGTTCAAGGCCCTCTGTGCTCTCTGTGAGGCTGAAGGGACCAGGGCTCCTGGGCTGTTTGCTGACCAGGAGGGCTGCGGCTCAGAGCCAGCTAGGGAGCCTTAGCCTCAGGCCCCTGGGGGGGGGGGTGTGTGACAACAGGGAGAAGAGAATAGGTGTGAGTGGGGAAGTAGAATCCTTCTCCATCTGCTGAGCTTTGTCTTCTGTGTTTTAGGTCAGTTTAATGCAGAACGGGTACCCAGTGATCTCAGCATTTGCAGGCGACCAGGATGTCACCAGAGAGGCAGCCAGCAATGGTGTCCTGCTCCTCATGGAAAGGGAAGACAAAGTGCATCTGAAACTGGAGAGGGGCAATCTCATGGGGGGCTGGAAGTATTCCACCTTCTCCGGCTTCTTGGTCTTTCCTCTATAAGCACAGAGCCCCCTGGATGACAGGGAGCTCCAGTCTGGACCCAGGAATCGCCCTGCCTCCCTGAGACCCTGAGTTCGCTGGAAGAAGACACCCGGCTCCAGCCTCCCATCTGACTACCGTGACAGCAGCAGAACGTTTTCCTGCTAACTCTCTAGCATTTTCTTTGAATATTGACAATTCCTCGGGAACCTGGCCTCTAATTAGCATTAGGCGACAAGGTCTTAAGGAGAAATGAAATTATGGATTGAAGCAATTTGTACCTGTGATTGTAAAGTCAATATCGGATTTACTGTTGGGACCCTGGACCTTTATTCTTCTGTTTGTACATTGTATTGTCCTCCCTGAGCGAGGAGTCCACTGGCCCTAGGATGGATTGAAGAGTGTAGACTTGGTTCCAGCAAACGACCACCCTCCGTACAGACCTTGAAACTGTGTTCTGTGTGTCTGTGTAGCCTTAAGAAAAGGAACAAAGAGAAGCTCCGGCTCTACTTCCATTCTGTATTTCTTCCCCCCTGCCCTGGGTCTCTGGGAGGACTGGGAGGGGGCTGGGAACATTGTCAGTCTGTCAAGAAGTGCTTTACCCCTATGTGATTTTGCACGAGTGGACTTCAACTTTTGTTTTGTACTGTTTGTGTTTTGTTTGTTAGTTTTTCTCGAAAAGCTTTATTTTCCTGCCACAGTCAGCCCTCCCCTGACTCTTTCTCGGAGGTTGTGGAGAAGATGCCTGTTAAATTAATGGATAAGGCCAAAACCCAACCAAACCAAACACCCCAGTATATTTTTTTTTGGATGAGGCCAAACAAAGCCAAGAGTATCTGCGTATCAGAGTTCAAATAGCACGTGGACAATTCTGTTGATTCTTTTCAAGGTGATTTTCTCAGATGCATTTTTAGAACTAGCACCCTGGATAGTTTTTATTTACAAACAGAATACGTTAAGTACTTGACATTTCAGCGGGGGCTTCAGTGGTATAAAGCAAGAATGGAAGCTGGAATGACCACATCCCCTGGGTACACTGATTCCTTATGGGGTCTGCTGCTGTCTTCTCCACAGATTGTTCTAGATTATGTGGGTCCACTTCTGAGTATGCAGACATGGGGCCATGGATTCAAAGATGGGACTCCATTCTGCTCTGCCAAGGATGCTGCCTGCCTGAACACCTGGAAGTCACAACACTGGAAGGTATTGGTTGGGGCACCCGGGAGCCATTTTACAAGTTTCCATCATTTTACCAACTTTGTACAACATTGCTGAGGCCCATATCAAGAGTTGATGGGTGCCGGATATGTGTGCCAAGAACCGTCACCAATCCCAAAGCTATCACAGATGAGACCTCAAACTGAATGTTAATTTGTCCTTTGTGTACCAATGTAACCAAAATATTGATGCTAAAAAGTCATCATTTAAGTTTCAGAATAAATGGGTTTGATGTCTGGCTTGTTCTTCTCCCTCGACACCATCTCCTGATTCTCAAAATATCGTAAGGGCCAAGCAGTGAGGATTTCAGAAAAAGTAAACCCCTTTTACAGAAAGCACATGCTTGCATACACCCAAGCACACATCTGTATATGTAGACCTAGTTGTGAATCTAGGCGACCCTAGCACATGTAGGCATATATGTGTATATGAAGGAGTCCCAACGGCATAATGGGTTATTCTTTGGGCTGCCACCTGCAAGGTCAGCAGCTTGAGCCCACCAGTCATTCCATGTGAGAAAGTAAGACTGTCTGCTCCACCAAATATTTACAAACTTGGGACCCCTATGGGGCAGTTCTACTCTGTTCTATAGAATTGCTATGAGTCAAAATCCACTCGATGGTACTGAGTTTGAGTTGGGTTTTTTTGTTTTGTTTGTTTTTATGTGTATATCTATGTGTGTGTTTCACACAGGGAGTATTTGGGGGGACTACATAGAAAAGACAGCAGTGAGATTTTGTGACAATCTTCTCTCATAATCAGAGAACACTAGTCTAAAAGGAATAACCATTGGTGGGAAGGATCAGACATTTTCAAAACTGGGAGGGACGGGCGGTGGAGTTCTTGGCTTCTGTTTTCTAATAAGAAATTCGATGGGGATTATATGGGTGAGCAAATATACAGCTTAACTCAGGATCAAAGTTTGACTGTCCTTTGCTGAAGAACATAATAGACTACAGAATTTAATTTGAATTACAAGGTCTGTTACATTTTGTGAGGTGGCAGAGGGGAGTTGAGGAATAGGAATCATGAAACATCAACCAAAAACATTAGGGGTTATCTTGGAGATATATTTCTCAATGTCACTTATTGATGTTGGCAACACAAAGGAGGCTAGCTAACAGACCTTCTCTCTGGGTTTACTGGCCTTTATTACTCCCTCCTCTCTTTCTCTTCTTCTTAGCGCTTATGTTCCATTTAAAACAAACAACAAACCTCAGTAGAGGACAATACAGTGCTCTGGAGATTTAAAGATATATGAATCCTTGTTATTTTTATTGCTTAATGATATATAATGCAATTGTTTGTATTTACAACTTTATTATTACACAGCTTGTCATTTGGTTATACTGTCAAATAAAAGTAAGTTATTAAATTGACTAAGCTAAAAAGCAATATATTTTAGGAGTCTCTTTTATACTAGGAATAAAGCAGTTTCATCTGATACCAATGCCCAAAAAAACCCACATTAGGAGGAAGCCATGAAGATACAATCTTTGAGCTTCTTGGTGGGTCAGTGCCACGTCTTGCCAAGGATCTCATTACTAGTGACCCAGATCTGTGAGGCCTTTGAGGAACATGAAACTCCTATACTCAATCTATACTATATATCAGTCAGATCAAAATGTCAAAATGCATTGTCTTCTACTAAAAATTCTACAGTCTCGGAAGCTGGGAGATTCATCAGTTGTCTGTCTCAGCCTCCATTTCCCTATCTGTGAACTGTGGGCATCACCTATGCCCCTGTCTGCCCACCTCACAGGGTTGTTGTGAGGGCCAGTGGGATGTTCTGGGAACATTGTAAAGTGCTGACATGTGAGCGTTGTTAGGGAGAGACAATGTCTCCCGGCAGATTTCTCCGTGTGCAATTTAAGAAACGATTTCATACAAACACTGGAGAGAATGGCTTTGTATGAAAGCAATTCTCCGTATTTCTGAAGAGCCTATTAAAAGTAGAGTAAAACTTTTTTTAATTAGGTATTTAGGAATGATGCTACGTGAACATATCAAATTCTCTAATGTTCACACTAACTCAATTCCCTGTTATGTTATTTGATGTCCTTGTGGTTTCAGTTCACTTTTCTGTTCCAGTTGATAATATTGAAACTAGATGATAATACACAACTGAAATTGTTTTAGCAAAAGTCAAAATGAGGGACTGGTATTCTCATAATAAGTTGAAACATATTAAGTTTATTGGATTTCAAAATCACAAAGGATGTAAAAATAATACCATTTTTTAGCTGAAAATGTATTATCAATTTGAAATATAAACTTAATGGTTCAACTTTGCGGTCCTAAGAAACATGTATTATTTCAGGGCCTTTTTTGTATCCTAAAATTTTTGATTTACAGATTGATGTATAAATGAAATGATCTATACTTTTACATTTTATACTTTACTTTGGCTGCAAGAGTAAAAGTGATAAAAATCTATTGAACATTACAATGAAAACTCTTGGAGGAATGTAGATATGGCATAGATTTACTTGTTTGAAAAAAAAAATTGTTTCACTAAATTTAGTTACATAAATATCACAAGAGCTAGAAAATGTATACAACCCCCAAAGCAAAAACAACAAAACTTTGCTGAATCTTTCATTTTATTTGTTATATTTTCTTGGCATTTTCCTAAGGAAATGGCAATGGTCAGTTACCTATAACTAGCCCTTATACGGGGGTCCTTGTGTGGTTCCATGGGTAAGCACTGGGCTGCTAACTGCAATGTTAATGGTTCAAACCCACCAGCTGCTCCTTGGTAACCCTATACAAGGTTGATATGAGTCGGAACCAACTCCACAGCATTCAACATCATGAGTACATATATATTATTATGTGCCCATAAATATTGGACGTTACACTCCTAATTTTTCAACACAGTTATATAAAATAAAATGGATATACTAATCATATTCTTTGGAAATATATGTGCAAAAAGAATTTAATTTTTCCTTTTAAACAAAACTACAGGGAGGGGATGGATTTCTTGAAGCTTCAGAGAAAGCAAAAGGAACAAAGAGAATTGTGTCAATTTGTAATCCTTGCTTTTTGTGTCTTTTATAAATTAACTGGAATCCTGGTATGGCGTTGTAGGATAAGCACTAGACTGGTAACCATAATGTCCACAGTTCAAACCCACCAGCCACTCCTCGGAAATTCTATACAGGGTCGCTATGAGTTGGAACTGACTCGGTTGAATTTACAACATAAATAAACCAATACTACAATAAGACCATGTCGCTGCTAATCAAATAGCTAATGTTTGTTTACTCACATTTCTACTGCCTGGGATATATCATGGAGTAAATAGATGTATTAGAATGAAAGGCTTTTGGGATGAAAGATGGTGGAAGTCAGTGGTAGAACTCAGAGGCAGTTTGCACTGAATCATTCTAAAAGTTGGCTGTGCTCTCTATCCAAATATGTATTAAGGAAAGTGTGGAAATGGATTAAGCAATGAGACTTTTTCCTTATTTATATGGGGATGCACTTTTTATCTGGGTGATTTTTAAAGCTGGTACTTGCTACTAAAATGGGGTATTACATACATATCTTAACATTTAAACTCAAAATCTCTAACTTCTCATGAGACTCTTAAAATTATTTTTTTTTACCTCTAAGGAGGAAGCACCCAAATATAATGAAATAATGTGTAATACAATTTTCATCATGATTTTATAATTTTACTTTTTAAAATTTTTCTGTAACTTTTTTCCCCATTAATATACTGTGAAGAAGCTAGCTGAGGATGAGCACATCTATTAGACACTTGTGCTTGTATTATTTGTCTAGCTGTTTGAAAC